AGATAACAATATCTACCAGCGGGTAATTCTCCCAGTAAGAGCAGGCTTTTCAAAAATGTACTTGATTTGATCCATTTTGGAGATCAACTAAGTAGTGTGATTCAACATATACTGCCGCAAACGCTTTGCTGCCCAGGCCAAAGCACAACATGTTTTTTCCAGCATGGAATACCGCGACTCACAATCAGTGATTTTTTTACTGAGATAATAAATGGCGAACTCCTTCTTCCCTGTTTCATCCGGTTGTCCCAGAATACAACCCATGGATTTATCTAGTACTGTCAGATACATAATCAACGGTCTTCCTTCTATGGGAGGGAGCAAGATATTATTTAATACTTTCAAATGCCCTTTGGCAGTCATCCTTCCACACACAACCTTGATCTTTCTTTAACAACTTAAAGATCGGTTCACATGTTGCAGTCATGTGGGAAATGAATCTAGAAATATAATTCAAACGCCCGAGGAAACCTCTGACTTGCTTTTAAGTTCTTGGTGCTGGCATTTATTGAATTGTTTTGACTTTATCAGGGTCAACTTCAATTCCTTTCTGGATAACAATAAAACCCAACAATTTTCTTGATCAAACACTGAAGGTACATTTATTTCGATTCAAGCGGAGACGATACTTCCTCAAACGGTGAAACAATTTCAACAAATCTTTTATATGCCCTTCTTCAGTCTGGGATTTGGCGATCATATCATCAACAAATACTTCAATTTTCTTGTGCATCAAGTCATGAAATAGGGTTGTCATAGCCCTCTGGTACATTGCACCAGCGTTCTTCAGCCCGAAGGGCATCACTCTGTAACAGAATGTTCCCCAGGGTGTGATAAACGTTGTTTTTTCCATGTCCTCTAGAGCGATTCTTATTTGATTATACCCAGAAAATCCGTCCATGAACGAGAATACTTTGAATTTTTCTGTGCTATCCACTAACATGTCGATGTGTGGCAATGGAAAATCGTCTTTTGGACTAGCTTTATTTAGATCTCTGTAATCTACGCACATGCGGACTTTTCCGTATTTTTTCGGTACTGGGACAATATTTGCAATCCATTAAGGATATACTGACGTCACAAGAAAACCAGCATTAATCTGCTTTAGAACCTCCTCTTTGATTTTTACTTCCATATCTGGGTGAGTTCTTCTCAACTTCTGTTTGATTGGCGGACATTCTGGCTTCAACGGCAAACGATGCTCTACAATATCTGTATCTAGACCAGGCATATCTTGATAAGACCAAGAAAAAATATCCACATACTCTTTCAACAAGTCAATCAACCTTCTCTTCACACCTGGATGCAATGATGCTCCAATCTTAACTTCTTTTGGATCTTCTTCTGAACCAAAATTGATCACTTCCAATGGCTCTTTATATGGCTGAATGGTATTTTCCTCGTGCTCAAGCAACCGTGAGACCTCGTCTGGAATATCATCATATTCTTCTTCTTCAGCCTCATACACATGACATTCAAAGTTGGGAGAGGGTGCAGGGTCATTGTATTCAACGAGTTTTTTAATTAATCTGCACATGCAGATTGAATTTCAGTTATTATTTATTTTGAAAGGTTTTTTTTATTACCATTTTCCAAGAAAAAGCAGAAAATAAAGAAATAATTCGGGAAACAAAGACAACTTTTATTATTGATCTTAAAAGTCACAACAAACAGATAAGCCCTACAACATTAATACTTCCACCTTGGGCAGAGTGAAAGATTTTCAAAAAAAGATTAAAAAATCAAGTTACTTTGAAACATGTATGCAAGAGGGAACATCAATGGTGATCCAGTTCTGAACCCTGACTCCGTGCGTCACAAAATTCGGCATTTCCTGCTTTGCTTCATCTTCCACAATGGCGTTAATCCTGGAAACAGTCAGATGAAGATAGCCTCCACTACGAAAAATGTCTTGATATTTTCCTGCAACAGGCTTCGGCTTCATGCTCTTACCTTTGTCATTTCCTCTTATGTTATCAATGGATAAGGCTTGGAATTGGGTTCCAACAACAGCTTCATCCGCTTCTACAATACTGAAAGAGGACAAATGAGATATCAACAATTCCTGCTCCCCATTTATGATCACTACATTCCCTTTACGCACAAACTTTAGCTTCTGGTGTAAAGTTGAAGTGACAACCCCTGCTTCATGTATCCATGGCCGTCCTAGCAAACAACTATAAGCGGGAACAATGTCCATGACCTGGAAGGTTATCTGAAACAAATGTGATCCTATATGGATAGGTAAGTCCATTTCACCGATGATAGATTTTCTTGACCCATCAAACGCTTTCACAATGATTCCACTAGGGCGCATAGGCGTTCCTTGATATTTCAACTTCATGAGAGTACTCCTCGGTATAAAATTCAACGCGGATCCATTATTAATCGGCGCATTGGATAGTGAATCATTCTTGCAGTTCATAGAGATATGGAGGGCCAGGTTGTGATTCCTCCCTTCATCTGGAAATTTGTCGTCGCAGAAACTCAGGTTATTACATGACGTAATGTTTCCTATTACGCTGCTGAATTGATATATTGGCATATCACTCTCCACAAAAGGTTGGTCTAATACCCTCATCAAGGATTCTCTTTGAGCAGAGGAGTTCATTAATAAAGCCAAGATAGATATTTTTGAAGGAGTCTGCAGTAGCTGATCTACAATTCTATAGTCGCTCATCTTAATTACCTTCAAAACATCATCCACCTCTTTCTCTAACGTAGCTCCGCTAGTCTCACCCAAAGCCTTCTTAGGTTCATCATTCTCAATAATTTTCTTCCCAGCATTAACATTTCTTTGAACAACCGGCGCAAACACACGACGGCTACGGGTCACCCTGCTATTTTCAGCTATATTTCCAACATCAAGCATTGGCTGGATGGGAACTTCCACTCCATCTTCTAATATTGTAGCGTTGTATTTGTAAGGCACAACCTTATATGATTTGTAGGGGATAGGACCTGGCAAACTAATCACCAATGGGGTAACAACTGGCTTGCTATGATACTCCACTTTAAAATGGGCGGGTGCACCAAAACAAGGCACAATGACGTTTACCCCTTCTTCAACACAATTAGTCATTAATAAATCATTTCTGGAAAACAAATCTTTGTTTGAAGATAAATACTCTTCTGCGGAGGCATACTCTTCCTCTGACTCTTCTTCCGTTAAACAAAACCCAACCATATCAACTTCATGGTAATCATCCCTCTGACTTGTGATCTTGATAGTTCCATTGTCTAACAACAACTGAAACCCTTCTTCACAATTGAACATCCTCGGGTGTCTCGACAGCAAACTAGGCAAGATCCATATTGGTTTTCCACCTGACCAGCCGTATGGCAGAAGGTAGCGTGCAACTGCACGAGGTCCTCATTCATAAACTCCACATTAAAAATTCTGAATTCACCAGGACATCCAGAAACCATGTTCACTTCCTCTTCATACTCAGCCCTAGGCCTGATTATATGGATTAAGCCCTCATACATCATCTCCTGTAAATCAGCCTTTACCTTCTTGCAACCTTGTATGTTTGTATTGAAAATAGAACAACCGGAATGGTCATGCGTATAGTAGCTAAATTCATAGAGGTCTACATGCATTTTCACCAAATCTCCTCTAACCAGATTAATATCAAAAATCCAGAAGTCGCCTGGACAACCGGCCACCATATTCACAACATTTACTCCCCCGTGCTTAGGTAGGGGATTATCTTTCACGTTAGGTCCCACGTCTTTGAAAGATAGAACACCATACTTTACCAATTTTTGTACCTCAGTCTTCAAAGGATAACAATTTTCAACATTATGCCCTGGTGCTCCTTGATGAAAAGCACATGTTTGGTCTGCCTTGTAATACCAAGGCAATGGTGAAAGTATGGTGGGAGATGGTCTGGTTTGAACCAACTTCTTCTGAATGAATGCCGGTAGTAGCTCTGTATAGCTCATGGGAATAGGGTCATAACTTTCCCTTCTTGGATTATACCCTTGATTCCCCTGTTGGGAAGGTCTCTGATAAGCAATGGAAGATAGAGCGGCATTCATAACGGGAGTAACTGAGGTAACTTGATGATGATGCTGATAATTCCTTCTAGGAGTGTTTACCCTCCTCTCTTGTATAACAGCATTTGCATCTCCTTCTTTCTTCTTGGTAAACCCATAAGATGGCTTCTTCACACCTCCATATCTTTCACTCTTCGTCAAACGGCCTTCTCTTACAACCTCTTCTAAGGGGATACCCATTCCTACAATCTCATTAAAGTCACTTGGCACGCTTGCTACCATCCTCTGTAGTAGAAATCACCCAGCCTCTTCAAGAAAATCTTAGTCATCTCCTTCTCTTCCATGGGAGGAATCACTTGGGCGGCTACCTCACGCCATCTTTGCGCATACTCTTTGAACGATTCCCTGTCTTTCTAAACCATGGCCCTAAGTTGATCACGGTCAGGAGCCATGTCCACGTTGTCACTACGCTAAAAATAAGCTTTAGCAGCACATAAAAGAAAGCGCTTTTGGAAAAAATCGCTGCTGTAGGTTTTAAAAAAAATTCGCTTAAAAAAGCGCTTTCAAAGGGTGCCTTAGAAAAGCGCTTTTCAAAAGCGCTTCTAAAGGTCACCCTTAGAAAGCGCTTTTTGGGAAGCGCTTCTAAAGCTGGCCTTTCAGAGGGTACCTTAAGAAAGCGCTTTTCAAAAGTGCTGCTAAAGGTCAGCCTTAGAAAGCGCTTTTCTAAAGCGCTACTAAAGCTGGCCTTTAGAAAGCGCTTTTAAAAGCGCTGCTATAGGATATGCTACGAAAGCGCTTTTTTATGTAAAAGCGCTGTTATATATGACCTTTAGAAAGCGCTTTTAAAAGCGCTTTCGTAGGTAGTTATTGTGGCCCATTAGTTAAGCCCATACCCGAATTATTATTATAAGTTATTCAACAGAAACCCTTGTTGGAAACCATTTGCAGTATAGCCGCTCATCTTCGTTTCTCACAGGATCCCGTGAAGCCGCTCCAAAATGGTTCATTCGTTTTCACAACTTGTTGAATTTTAAACTGTTATTCTAATTTCATTCTTATGTGATTATTGTTTGTGATTTTGGTTGCAGACTAAGAGAACCAAGAAGGCCGGTATTGTTGGCAAATACGGTACGTTCTATCAATTTTCTTACTTTTCAACATTTTGTCTTGTTTGTTGTGATTTTTGGTTTCATATTTGTTTGTTTTGTAGATATTTATTTCATTTCAATTCACTATAAATATGTTTGTTCTAACCCTAAAAACTTTGTGGGTTTTTTAATTTCAATTAGGTTTAACTTAGATTTATTTGCTTCTAATTTAAATGAAATTCTCAGCTAAGATGAGTTTATGGTTTTTGTGTCGTAAATGGTGATAACTGATATGTTTATGTTCTAATTTTAGGCACCCGATATGGTGCTAGTTTGAGGAAGCAAATTAAGAAGATGGAAGTCAGTCAGCACAGTAAATTCTTCTGCGAGTTTTGTGGAAAGGTAGTTTTTTTTAAGGTGTTTTGTGACGAGTTTTTTTGATATGCATTGGTTGATTATGTTCTCAATTTGTTATATGTAGTATGTTGTTAAGAGAAAGGCTATTGGTATTTAGGGCTGCAAAGATTGTGGGAAGGTCAAGGCTGGTGGTGTTTACACTTTGAAGTAAGAATCTTGCTCAAAAAACATGTTTTCTCAATTGATTAATTGCTTGTATATAGTTGCTAACCTTGTGATTTTCTTTGTGCTTATTATTTTGACAGTACTGCCAGTGATGTGACTGTTCGGAGTACCATCCGAAGGTTGAGGGAGCATACTGAGAGTTAGACAGGAAGCAGTATTACAATTTTGTTATTTTTTGTTTTCAAAGTTATTGCAGAAACTTTTGTATGTCCTTAATTATTGTTATATTTGATTTGGATATTTGAGGAAGGTTTTGTAAGTGTATCAGTTATCTTTAGATTATTGAGTACTATTTAGTTTGAGCCACATCTTCTTGATATTTTTATGCGGTTTATCAAAGAAATCCTTCAACTGATTTTGAGTTACAATGCTGATAACAATGGTTTTTATATATTTTGAGGTACAAAAATGGTGTATATATATTTTGGATTACAATGGTATACAATGCATTACCGTGGTTTATGATTTACAGGTTATGGAAACTGGTTTATATAAATAATATGCTGTAAACAATGCAGGTATATGAATTATATAAATTATACCTCTAAAAAAACACCCTATGAAAGCGCTTTTTCAAGAAAAACGCTGCGTTAGGTAACCTATGAAAGCGCTTTTCACAAAAAGCGTTGTCTAAGGTAAACATATGACAGCACTTTTCCAGGCAAAAGCGCTGCTAAAAGACCACCTATGAAAGCGCTTTTTCAAAAAAAAAAGCGTTGCTAAAAGCCTACCTAAGACAACGCTTTTCCATAAAAAAGCGCTGCCTTAGGTAGACCTATGAAAGCGCTTCTTCATAAAAAAGCGCTGCCAAAAGCCTACTTAAGAGAGCGCTTTTTATAAAAAGTGTTGTATTAGGTAGACCTACGAAAGCGCTTTTCATTAAACAAAAAGTGCTGCTAAAACCTATAGCAGCGCCACCTTAGAAAGCGCTTTTAAAGGCAAAAAAAAGCGCTTTCGTAAGTCTTTTTTGGCGTAGTGTGTACTTGTATTGTTTGATGAATGCTTCTCCCAAATCATTAAAAGTATGGATATTGGCGCTGCCCAAACTCATATACCACTTCAATGCAACACTAGTCAAACTATCCTGAAAAAGTGAATCAGTAGACGCTGATCATCAGTATGGGTAGACATTATCCTTACGTACATTACCAGGTGAGCACGAGGGCAAGTGTTTCCCTTATACTTCTCAAATTCTGGGACCTTAAACTTAGAAGGTGTCTTAACATTCGAGACCAAACATAGCTCATTCACATTCTGCCCAAATAGCTCTTTTCCCCTGAGGGCCTTCATCTCTCTTTGCATCTTGTCAAACTTCTCTTGAAAATCATCCATTCTGTCATAAAGACCCAAGTCCTCACTTGGTGGAGGGAAAGGACGACACACATCATCATTAACAAACAGAATCATATTTACCGAAGGAGGCGCAGCAGGAGCAGCATGCACCACAGGAGGTGCCGGAGTAACAATAGTCTGAACCACTGGAGTATCTTGAGGACCAAGATTGAAACCTTCAGGTGCAAAATTCTCTGGCATTCCGCATGGATAACTTTGAGGCATGCGATTCTGAACAACAGCCAGAGTAGCAGATACGGGAACATTCGGAGTTTTAGTATTTGCCCTTGTTGGTTGAGGTTGAACACTCGGTGGCTGATTCTGAGCAGCCACCAGAGCTTCCATCAGAGTAGTCAGATTGGGCATGCCGGCCTTCAAAGCAGAAACTTCCTCGTGCAACTCATGATTCTCTAGTTCTAAGTTGTCCATCTTCTTTTTGAAATTAGCCTGAGTGTTGTAGTGATGAGTCAGCTTTCTAAACGAAGTAAAGAAGCTTGGTAAGACACTTGGATATGCATAACAAATGTAAAAAGTATGTGCAATATGATGCATGTAATGCACATGATTATTTTTACTTTGTTATTTGATATTTCAAGGGATTTAAAGTTTATAGACATATTGCAAACATTAAAGTAATAACGCATTTGAAAAACTGAATTTTTTTATTATAATAACTCCAAAATGGATTACAAGTTTCAATGATCCCAAGTACAAGATGAAAATAAAATCTAAAACCCTGAGAAAAATAACTGATGGAGATCACTCTATATGATGGCGTTTCCCCGTGAGCCTGGCAATCTGAGCCTTCAACCTCTGGTTTTCTTCCGCATATCTGGTGGTAACCTCCTTCCAATCATCTGAATCAGGAAGTGAGTAATTAGCACCTGATTGAGGCTTAGGAGATAATAAATCCCCTTGACTCTCCCTAGACTCTACTTCTCGACTCTCAAGGATCTCAATCAAGTCGTATTTCTCCTTCAAGTCTACTCTATAGGAACTCTCTAAAGTTTGGAACTTGTTCTTCCAAGCATCCATTCCCTGTTGCATCCTAACCAAAGCAAGTTGCAGCTCTTCTAGATCATCTAATAAAGGAGGAGTGGTCTTCACAAATAGATCAGGCATGAGCGTCTCATGGGTATACGACATCTTTAACTGAATAGCTCTTAATCGAACTCACTGAAGATATGGCTCCAAATACACAACATCCATAGGTCCCAAATCCTTCCTACTCTTCTTATGAATGTGACGCCAGGCCTTCGCAATCTTCTCCCTAGCATCCCTGTGGTCTTCTCCTTCCTTCAGAAAGAAACTACTCAAATGAATACTATTCGGTTTATCCCTCATCGGATAACCAAGTTGTCGCCGTGCAAGAACAAGGTTATAGTTAATTCCTCCCTTTGTACCAAGAAGAGGTACATTGGGGAAACTACCACAACTGTCAATAATCTCTATATCCTAGTAAGCTCGATGATACCGATCAATATCTGAGTGAGTAAGTGCCATGATCTTAGGATCCCAACGGGGTTCCTTCTTGACATCCCAAAAAGCATCAGACTGAGGCATATGAGAGATAAACCACCGACACAATAAAGGCGTGCAACAGATAATCATCCCCTCATGATAAGAATTCCGAAGATGAATAGAGCAATAAGCATCACCCAACAATGTAGGAACTGGGTTTCCAATCATGAAAATCCTAATAGCATTAATGTCAACAAACTTGTCCACATTAGGAAATAAGAATAACCCGTAAGCAAGCAGAGCAAAGATGGCCTCAAAAGCAACTGTACTCTTCATTATGGAAAAGTAACGAGCTTTCTCCAGTAAGAACTGAGATGGTAATCCTATAATACCTCCTTTGATAGTCATATAGGCTTCCAATTCAGACTTCTCCAGGTGAATCAAAGCATCAATCTCATGTGGTTTTGGCTTACCATCCAAACCAGTAAAAGGAACATAATCGGTAACAGGTAAATCCAATAGGTTAGAATACTCCTCCAGTGTAGGCATCAACTGATAGTCGGGAAAAGTAAAGCAATGATACATCGGATCATAGAACTGGACCAAGGTCGAGAGAATACCCTCCTTCATCTTCAGCTTCATGAGAGGAATAATGGATCCATACTTCTTCCAAAAGTCTGTAGAACACTCGATCTCGGGAATTAGACTGATCAACTCATCTATCTTGGGATCCTTGAAACTGTATTTCCCGGTCTTTCTCTTTCCAGAATCCATGGTTAAAAGTACTTGAGATTTTCACAAATAGTCACCCTTTAAATCCCTTGAAATATGGTTTCTTCAAAAGATGCTTATGAGTGCATGTATGCATGATGCAACAATCACACACAAGATCACACATATAGGGTTCATAGGTTCAACGTCACGAGCATCAAGTCGAAGGTACTACCCATAAGGTATTGGTCTAAAAGTTTTATCACCTGCCGAACAAGGTTCTAGAGGTTCCCAGAGTCTACATCCTTCCTTCGGATATTATCAACTTCCCGATTAACTCAGTAATTAGTAATATCCTCAAGAAAGACTCGTCCGAGCATAGTATGGAATGACAACTATTTCTGAATTACTCCGTCATAGCTTCCACACTACACCTAAAAGGACAAGATAGGTTAGGTATTCTACGGTCCTCAATTTCAGCAGGCTCCCAGGTCGAAAGTAGTACGTCTTCTCGATTACTCGGTAAACGAAACTACAATCAAAGGGGGCTCCACTGAGTGGAGGATATCATGCCTCCTTTTTTGGGATTACTCCCTCAAAGTTAACATGACTATACCGCCCTTCCTATCTTAAAGTTTTCCATAGTCCGGGTATATGACTTATGAGTAATCACCAAGCACCCTGAAAACCAGGAAAATCAAAACAAACATGTATACAACATATAACACACAAAACAAAAATAACAGTAATATCTCATATACAGATATAAACAAAGATAGGCTTAACCCACTTATGGATGGACCATCAAGAGGTCAATCTTTCCCCAGTGAAGTCGCCATTTTTATGTAGCCGTAGAAATGTTTAAGACTAAGCTATTGGATTGACTAGACTTATACAGATCAAAATAAAAATCGCCATCGCGCTTTATTATTTCCCAAGGAATGGGAAAAGAGAGAATAACCCAAAAAGAAGGGGAAAGATTCAAGGTAAGTGGGTTGTTTATGCAAAGGGAATGTATTAGCACCCTAAACATCTACGGTACTCCGCATGAGCCTCTTTGTAAAATCTGTATATTTTGGTTATAGAAAATGTTGTATATAATAAGTAGATGGTGGAGGTAAGAAAAAAAATATATTTATTTTATAATTTTTTACCCGCCGCGGTTGCGAACCTTTAGTGCCTATGTACCAACTTTTCGTGCAATAAGGGATCAAGGTACACATAGTTCCTCTTTTAAAAATTTAAAACATAAATGCGTTGGTTAATTTTATGAGATAAAACATCATCGTCATTGTCCGTGTGGAAAACATGCCTACTACCCACAATTATGAGAAAGGAGAATTTGTATCATCTCAAAGTGGAGGATATGGCTTGGATTTCAAAATCAACAATGCCTCACTCAACACCAGAGTGGAAAAATATCTCTCTTCACTACATATTGTAGAAGTATAGTTATTTGCATCACTTCAAGGATTGACAAGAGTTCAACCTTTTTGAGAAAAGTTTAAAGATAAAAGCCAAAGTGGAAAAATGGTTTGAAATGAGATTTATTGACTTCTAGTCTTCTCAAAAAAAATTCAAGGTATTATTAAGTTTATTGAAGTTTATTTATGAAAAATTCTTGAAAATGCATGTACCTA